GGGGTTTCAGGGTGTTATTTTGGGGTTTCAGGGTGTTATTTTGGGGTTTTTGGGGGTTTTTGGGTGGGATTTGGGGGTTTTTGGGGGTCCCGAGTGTGAATTTTGGGGTATTTTGGGTGTTTCCGGGGTGCCTCACCGGGGATCAGCAGGTTCCCGAAGCAGTAGCCGGCCGTGCCCGCGATGACGTGCGCCCCCCGGCCGGTGCACTGCACGTCCCGGATCCGGCCCCCCGTGCCCGTGGTGGCGCCGCTGAACGGGGCCACGGCTGAGGACGGACGGACGGACGGACGGGGGGGACAGACGGACAGGGGGGACATCAGAGGGGATGGACGGACGGACGGGGGGGACAGACGGACATCAGAGGGGATGGACGGACGGACAGGGGGGACGGAGAGACGGACGGACAGTGGGGACAGACGGACAGGCAGAGGGGACAGTGGGGACAGACGGACGGACGGACAGATGGACATCAGTGGGGTTGGACGGACGGACGGACGGACATCAGAGGGGACAGACAGACGGTGGGGATGGAGAGACGGACGGACAGGAGGACGGATGGATGGACAGTGGGGATGGACAGATGGACGGACAGTGGGGACATCGGGGGGGGACAGACGGACACCGGTGGAGATGGACGGACAGACAGTGGGGACAGCGGGGACAGACGAACAGACGGACAGGCGGACGGACACGGGGGACAGACGGACAGTGGGGACATCAGTGGGGGGGGACGGACAGACGGACAGGGGGGACAGACGGACATCAGTGGGCATGGATGGACATTGGGGACAGACGGACAGGGGGACAGACAGACGGACATCAGTGGGCACGGATGGACATTGGGGACAGACGGACAGTGGGGACAGACAGACGGACATCAGTGGGCACGGATGGACATTGGGGACAGACGGACAGGGGGACAGACAGACGGACATCAGTGGGCACGGATGGACATTGGGGACAGACGGACGGGGGGACATCAATGGGGACAGGGGGGACAGTGGACACATCAGTGGGGACAGACGGACAGACAGTGGGGACATCAGAAGGGACGGTGGAGATGGACAGAAGGACGGACAGTGGGGATGGGCAGACGGACAGGGGGACATTGGGGACAGCCCAACACCCACTGACCCCTGAC